GAAGAACGAAATGTTATCATTTGCTGGTAAATGGATGGAATTGGAGAACATCATTCTGAGTGAGGTTAGCCTGGCCCAAAAGACCAAAAATCGTATGTTCTCCCTCATATGTGGACATTAGATCAAGGGCAAACACAACAATGGGATTGGACTATGAGCACATGATAAAAGCGAGAGCACACAAGGGAGAGGTGAGGATAGGTAAGACCCCTAAAAAATTAGCTAGCATTTGTTGCCCTTAACGCAGAGAAACTAAAGCAGATACCTTAATAGCAACTGAGGCCAATAGGAAAAGGGGAACAGGTACTAGAGAAAAGGTTAGATCAAAAAGAATTAACCTAGAAGGTAACACCCACGCACAGGAAATCAATGTGAGTCAATGCCCTGTATAGCTATCCTTATCTCAACCAGCAAAAACCCTTGTTCCTTCCTATTATTGCTTATACTCTCTCTACAACAAAATTAGAAATAAGGGCAAAATAGTTTCTGCTGGGTATTGAGGGGGTGGGGGGGAGAGGGAGGGGGCGGGGTGGGTGGTAAGGGAGGGGGTGGGGGCAGGGGGGAGAAATGACCCAAGCCTTGTATGCACATATGAATAAAAAAAAAATAAAATAAAAATAAAGACTATCTGCAAATACAAAAATAAAAAAAAAATTTCATGGAACTGTCACCAATTTAGACCATATGTTGATCCTTAAAATAATTCCTAATTAATTTCAAGAGGTTGAAATTTTACAGCACTATTTTCTGATCACAACAGAAAAAAATACTTACCAATAATAACACTTTTAGAAAATCCTGTCTTTTGGGACTGAAGATTTAACTAGTGGTAGAATATTTTCCTGGTATGCTTGAGGCCCTGGGTTCCATCCCAGCAACACACACACACACACACAGACACACACACACACACACACACACACACAAGTTCCATCTTTCTAAAACAAACTTCTAAATAATCTATGGCTCTAAGAAGGAATCACAGGTAAAATTAGGAAAAACTTAAGTAATAATAAAAAATACACATATCAAAATTTTAGAAATACAGCTTAAAGCAGCACTTAGAAGGAAAATTATATCTTTAATTATTGTATTAGAAAAGAGAAATATTTAAGGACATTGATATGTTTTCATTTTAAAAAATAAGAAAAAAAATAGAAAGAAGGAAATATAAAAGATAAGATATTAACATGGGAAAACAGATTAACGATAGAGAAAAATGCCAGTCCAGTGGTTCGTGCCTGTAATCGTAGCTACTAAGGAGGTGGAGATCGGGAGGATCATAACTTGATGCCAGACAAGGCAAGCAGTTGGGGAGACCTGTCTCAACCAATAGGAACACTGACACTGACACTGACACTAATGAATAAGATGGTATGGTGGCACGCACCTGTCATCCCGCTACATGGGAAGCATAAATAGGATTGCAGTCTAGGCCAGCCTGGGGAATGAAGGTGAGACCCTCTTTGAGAAATAACTAAAAAGAGCAAAAAAGGTTGGGGGCCTGGCTGAAGTGGAGAGCACCTCCCTAGCAAGCACAAGGTCCTGAGTTCAAACCCCAATACCAGCAAAAAAAGGAAAAAAAATTAAGTTAGTCAAGAGACTTGTACATGAGTGTGTCTCAAAAAGATTAATACAATTAATAAGAAAGACATTTAAAATACATATTATTAACATCAGGAACAAAAATGGTTTATTCCCACGGATCCTACAGATATTAAAAGAATCATCAGAAGGTATTTTCATAAACATTATGTCAATATTGAGAATCTATAAGAATAGACAAGTTCTTTGAAAAACAAAATTTATAAATCCAGCCAGGACAAGAAAAACCTTAATATCCCTTTATGTTAACTAATAATATAAAATCTTCTCACAAATAAACTTCAGTGCCAAAGAGCTTCTTCAGTGAATTCTATCAAACATTTAAAATAGAAAGAATACCAACCTTATATAAGTTCCACTCTGTTAAAAAGCAAAGGAGAGAAACATGTTCCCACTTGTTATATGAGGAAAGTGTCATCCTGACTTCACAACTTGATAAAGACACGTCAAGGAAACTACGTACAATGTTTGTCATCACTAAACACTCTATAATTTTCAACAACATTAATAAAATACTGCAACGTATAATGGGGAATATGGCACAAATGTATGCCAGAGACGTAATATTGGTTTAATATTTAAGAATCACTCATGTAATTCATCACATTAACAGAATGAAGGAGAAAAATCATATTATTAATTATTGTAAAATTTGCAGTAAAAGCATTGGACAAAACTTGGCATATGTTTATGATTAATAACTCTAAGCAATGTAGAAATTAAAAATAACTTTTTCACCTTGAAACTCCGCAGCTAGCATCTTACTTAATGGAAATACTGAGAACTTTTCTTCTTAGTCCCTTTATTATAAAATGCTGATATCCACCATGACCACTAGATGAGAAATATACCTCAATCCCTGCTTCACAGGAAGCACAAAAAGTCATTTAATTCTGACAGACAGAAGCAATGAGTTCCTTTGAGATGTTTCTATTAAATATGTACAGGTTTTTACATGACAGGAAAACCTCAATAAAGTGCTTAAAGAAAAGATGGTTACACAGTTGGGATAATAGGGGAAATTACAATATGCCTCTCAAATCAAATTTTTATTAACAAAATTATTTTCCTACGTTATTTTTGAGGAATAAAAACGGAGAGTGGAGGTAGGCTTACTAACGGTAGTATTTTCCTTCAATTTCTTTTGCAGTACTGGGATTGGAACTGAGGGTCTCATGCTTGCTAGGCAGGTGTCTACCACTTGAACAATGTCCCCAGCTCTTTGACCTTTGGTTCTTTCCTCCAGATTCCCACTTCCCAAGTAGCTAGGATTACAGGCATGATCCACTATGTCCAACTCTTTTAAAAATATTTTTAGTAGATAATTCATGCAAAATTAAAGGCAAAATTGGTGCAAAAATAGAAATGATAGTAAATTGCAAAAAAACAATGAGCTTGCTTCAACATTATGCTATGCGAATCAAAAAAACAAAGGCATGGTAGTTGGGTACCAGTGGCTTACGCCTGTAATCCTAGCTACTCAGAAGCAGAGATCAGGAGGATCACAGTTCAAGGCCAGCCCAGGCAAATAGTTCATGAAACCCTATCTCAAAAAAAGCCATCACAAAAAAAGGGCTGGTGGAGTGGCTCAAGGTGTAGGCCCTGAGTTCAAAATCTAGTACCACAAAAAAAGGCATGGAAGCCACCCACTCTTACATGAACCTAAGTTATATTCCTAAGTGGATGTAATGTACATACATATACATACTAAATAAAGATTAAATAATTAAAACATTGACTAATAACTAATGCTTTCCTGCTAAGCATTTAACCAATGAAATGACATTGTTAGTTTTGCAATTTACTGTGTTCATTCAAATTTTCTGAAAATCTCGCATATGCTTCCTGCTCCAAAAACACACATGAAATAAATTTATGTCCTTGTGGAGTTTATTAGAAGTTACATAATAGACATAGGCTGCGTATGTATAAGTTAGAAGCAGGATTAATAGCTTCTCTCTGGGAGAGACTAATAATCAAATGGCCATTATAAATTTGAAATGACCTCAGAATTAATTTACTAGTCAGATACATATGCATGAGTTACTCATAGATGCTTTCCTTTTCCACACTTAGAAGTTTAAAGGTGTTCAGAGAAGTTTTGCTGATCTTTTCTTGCACCATGGTGTCTCTTCTTTGGAGGATACACTTACACATATCATCTCATCATATGTCCACATATCTCTTTACGGCAATAAAGTCACCAGTGCATAATGAGTGCCTCTACTATGTGTGTATCGCCTTTCTTAAGTCTTTATGTTCATCCCCTCATGTAATCTTCCTGCCAACTCCAGGAAGTGTTCCCTCTTCCCAGAGAAATGGACCAGGCCATTTACACAAGTGTATACAAAGAAGACCTGGTTTATCATGATGTATATACTCACCAGATAATTCACTTTCCTATGGTTTGTCTACTTTTCACATATACAAGTACATATACCTTATGGAAAAAATATCCCTCCCAAGTGCAAGAAACAGTTTTCAAACTCAGTCATCTTTATGTACCCAATTTGTTTGTCAATGGAAATCAATACATTAAAAACTGATAAATGACTACTTGTAATCATCTTTCAAATTTAATTAAGTATTGTAAATTTTCTGTCTATGATGTGAATTGAAGATTTTCTTTCTATAATTTACAGATGAATTCTTCATTTGTAAACATATCAATATCTGCTCAAATCTGAATACAAGGTATAAAATCAATTTCACTACCTCAATGTCTGCTGAATTAGAATGTGACAGTCCCATATCTGTTGCACTTCTGATACCCAAATTTTTATACCCAGTCAACACCTAATGGACACTTCTGGGTCATGTATGTCCAGAGATCAATAATCTACTCTGCTCTCTCCTCCCATCACTCCGCTATTTGGGCTGTTTATTAGCATGATTAGTCAAGAGAGACATGAGCTCTGCCTGCACAGTATCTAACACATAATTAAAGAGCTTATTATATCTTACCCACCAATCCAACAACACATGAATACTACCAACAGTAGTGTTTTATCTAGCTCTGATGTCATGAACTAACTGGATAGGGGGCTGAGGTCACGCAGTTACTGAGTGTAAAAATGAGGGCTTTTCCTAACATGCAGCCCATACCATTGTCAGCATTGTTAGCACACACCCATGTGGCCACACTGGAAGATTCCTACACACAAACTTTGCATTTGCTTTACCTACTTTCCCATTAGGTTACATTTTCCAACTGGTTTGTCCTGAATATTGGGCTTTAAAAATCAGACAAAATAATGTACAAGAATCGACCAATACAGAGTTACAGAGCATAGACACACTGTTCACAATTTTTTGATACAGATTTTTCTCACTAAAGTTGCAAAAATGTCCTTGTTAATCATCTACATCAAAATGCAACTAATAGAGAAACTTACCCTGGTTTTGTGTCATTCACTACACAGTGATAGGTAAATGTTCCAAACATCTGAACTCCTAAAATTCCATAAAGAAGTAGAAAGAAAAGTAGGAAAATTGAAACACTCCATATTTGTTCTCCTGATCGCCTAAGGGGAAAAATGGAGGCAAAATAGATGAAACTTACGAAAAATTGCATAAACTTTCCCCCTTGGTTTATGTAACAAGCAATACTTACTTTAAAATATTTGTAATTCTGGTCCGTGGCAGTTCAAATCGGAAATAAATACGGAATGCTCGGATCATAATGAGTGGCCTTGGTATCCTAAGCATGCCCCATGGTGACATCTGATCAACTATGTCAGCAATTTCAAACACCTATACATGAAGAGATGCAGAGCAAGCTTAAAGCCATGGAATATAGAGATAACGGCCAAAGTCCCCTGGACCTTCAATTTAGCCCCATGCTATTTCCCACCAAAATCAATTTTTGGGTCACTTTGAGGCTGCAGTTATCTTAAGAGAAACAAATACTTCAGTTAAGTTAAATATAAAATCTCGCCTGAAAGTGTACAAAGAACCGAATTCTACTATTTTCCAATAAAAGCCCTCTTTTAAGCCTTTTTAATGTATCTTATTTTTTATAATAAAGCATTTGTATTTGCAACGTAGTGTTTTATGTTGATCAATACATATCACAATATTAATTCACTTATCTGTTCTTTGTTCTCTTTGGCAGCACTGAGGTTGAACTCAGTACATCACGTTTGCTAGACAGGTGCTCTACTGCTTGAGTCACAACTTCAGCCATACTGTTTTTAATAGGTCTTAGTCAGAAAGAGATTAGAATTTTAATTTTTAAATTCAATTTTTGATTTTACAAATACAGAAATCTCACCCAGCTTTTTCTTCATCTCAATGACTGTATTTTTATACTCATTTAAGCAGAAATAATTTCCTTTAGCATTGACTTTAATTTCTGAAAAAATTCACAAATATGACTAATAACAATTAAAATGTTAGACTTTTCTATCAATAAACATCAAAATAAGCAATGCAAGAAATTACACAATCACATTTGATATTTTCTTTAATAAAAAATAAACCCTAAAAACCCAAAAAATGTTTCTATTTAAACACTCAATACAAAAGAATGCCCTTTTTGGAAAATACCCCTTTATGATAGAAAAATATTTAATTACCTGTAACACCAATGAAACCCAAAGACAAAAGACCATAAATCCATCAAATACACACCAGCGATCTTTCACATAGGAACTATCTCCCTAAAAATAAAATTCAGGCAAAATTAATATTATAAAAATATCTGTGGAGGAAATAGTCAAGCATTAATTCAATAAAAAAGCACTCAGTATTTTTGTGTCATAATGCAATAGACTTTCAAATGAAATACTTTTTAGCATTTTATATGATGTTATAGCAACAAAAGAAGGTACAGAATTTTGAGTATGATACATTACATTCATTAAAATATTAAATTACTATTCATTCTCTTAGCCACACAAATCCTACTCCTCAAGGACCAGAGGCCATCCTTCAAACTCCTATAAGAAGCAGATCACACAGTGGTCGACATGAAGGACTTTAAAACTCCTGACCCAGCACCACTAGAGGGAAAATTAACCAACAAGTTACCTTAAGCTAAATAAAAGTGTGGAAAAAATTTGTCCTAATTGCAAAGAAACACACAGTACCTTTAACTTTAATCAGGATTACATATGTAAATGAAAAAAAAAGATGTTCTTTCATTTTTTGAAATAGGAAATATATTCTGATATTAGAATGCATATTTAAGTCAAAGGATAATTTTAGAGAAGAATTTTCCTTTGAAATTGCAAAGCAGGGAACTTTGTGAGGTTAAAATTGGAAGACTTAACTAGGAAATTTTACCATTGGAGGAGTGTCCTAGTAAGTCACTAGACCTGTCCTCACCCATGTAACTCAGTTCTCAATTGGGTCACATATCATTACCACCTTTAACTGAACCTGCTGAGAAATAAAAGTGCAGCTGAATGTGAAGATTTCAAATAAAATATAAAATAGGATGCAGGATACTTGAGAAAGTAAAGTGATTCCCACAGCTTTCCACTTTCAGTAAAAATAGTTACCAACATAGTTCCTGGAAAAGTTTCTAGAAACAACTTCTGTTGTTCACAAAACACTATGATTAGGTACTGAATGGTTATCTCAGATGACTTCACATTTCAGACCCAGATATGCAGTACAAACTCAATAATCACACTTTACTAGAGATGCATAATGAATGCCTAGCAAACACACGCACCACCAACGCCACCACCGCCACCACCACCACCACCCACCAACACGACAATTTTTCGTCAAATACACAAGCAGAGTGACTTATAATAAGCTATAAACATAGTAGGAAAATGAAAAGATTAATCTTACGGAAAGTTTAGAGAAAACAGTGCTAGTTCCCAAATGAATGGGCAAATATTTTATCAGTGGCAAGACAATCAACCAAACCTGGTGCCTCATGAATTGGAGAAAATTCACAAAAGAAATATCTGAAAGGAAACTCTGAGGCTTGGTTCTCCGTGACAAGGAAGACAATGAGGCTATTAAACCACACTTCACAGCCATGATGTGGTTTATGTGTGAAGAAGACAAAAATCTGCATCCTAGGATGCTGCAGGATGTGTGCACATGTAAACAGATTTGCATAGATTAAGTGAGAAAATTTGAGGACAGTAGAGCATCTTTTATAAGTATCAGATGTATTACACAATTTTTGAAAAATATAAATTATAATTTAAATACAGGCAAGATAAAATTGAATTTTCCCGGAGCCTACTTTTCATCAACATACAAACAGATTATGCCATACGTATTATTTAAAGCTGTTTTGAACTGCCTCGCCCACTCAATGTACAGAACATGTCTATAGTCAAGAACTAGTTATTCAGGAGAGAAAATTATGTAATTCACATTTTCAGTTGATTAAACTGTAAAAATACACTATGTTGTATATATATGTTACAAAGAAAAATAAAAGTGTGTGTTTTAAAATTGATTTATTTTTAAATAAGCACGTGTGTGTCTTCTGCTTGTATGCTTGGCAAGAAGAGAAAGGAAAATATCAGTTGATTTTTATTTTAAGAACTATGCATAGTTATAACTGTTTTTTAGAATGCAACAAATCTCCAAAATGAAAATTGAAATTTTAGGGGACTCAGCAGAGAACTATTTAAAATCAGAAAAACTAATCAGTATTAGGCAGGAAAAATATAATCATAGACCATTGGGTACATAAGGCACCCAAATAGGATGAGTTCATATGGTATTTTCCAAAAGTTTTAATATTTTATTTTTTCTGTCATTAAAAATGTTTAATGTAGCATCAGTATGGTTAGCCTTTTTCAACATTCATCATTTGCTTTTGTAATGAGTTAAATTCAGCAAGATAACAGGATAAGTTTATCACCATAGTGGGGATTATTTAAATGTAACTATTTAAAATGTATTAAAATGTAAGCAGTGACCAGTCTATGGGAGTGGAACTGGGTGTCTAGAAGCCTAAGCTGTAAGAGAGACATATTTTCAGAACTCATCTGTGTGTTTTTTAACTAATGCTTAATTTTAAAGGTTTAAAAATAAATGTCTTGAATTAAAATTTTTAAAAGGTGACATTTTAACCCTAATAAAATTACATCATCAGCTGACAAAAATAAAGTCAAATTAAAAATTTGGGCCTCATAAATTTAGAATGTTCAGTTATCAATAATAGATGTGGCTGCATTTTTATTTCTTATTTATGATATAAATTTGTTTACTAAGGAAGTTGATGTTGTGAGGCTTTTACTCACTATATTTTGAACTATGTAAAAGTTTACCATGTAAACTTTTTACTTTTACTATGTAAATTGGTTTAGAGGTACTGGTTGTGATCACAAAAGTATAAAGACTTATTTTCAATTCAAATGACTCATATTGTGAAACCGGCTTAAGAAAACTTCCATTATATAACAGAGAAACTATTTTAATTGATAAGTAATGTCAGTTGTATTATTGGAATGTTTTCTGCTATCAACTTTTCAGAGATCCGTGGTAGCATTTACCTGTCACTCACAAACCCTCTGCACGTTAGATGCTACAGTGCATATTACTAGTCTACTAGAACTGGCTTCATTTTTACTTTCTGGGTAAATATGAAAATAATCCCCTGGGCATAAATTTTACATATTATTTTTGGGTTCATCTTTCCAAGGGTATTCATATTCATGAATACCTTTACTAGGCAATGTTTTAGTGCCCTATGATCAATATCATTTTATTTTTTTTTACCTTTTGCTCCTGTTGTTCTCTGTTCTTCATTATTTTCTATTTTCCTAAAATATTCTTCCCAAGCTGGACCAACCTTTCCCTCCCCACTCTGATCTAACCACAGCTTGTTCTGGTCATCTTCTTAATTCACACATCATACACCACCAATCACTCAGTTTTTGTGAATGAATAATGCTCATATGTTGTTACTCACAAAATGGTCTTTAGTAACCCCTACTGGCTGCCTCATGAAGTTATATGTTGGCATTGGATCTGATGGTGAACTCTGAGTTACATACTTAAATCTTCTATGAATGTATTCTTGCATATTATATTTTAAAAGTTTATCCCCTACAGTTAATGTTTCCTGAGTTTGTTTTGAGGATAAGTGGCACCTGGAACTTTAAACCAGATAATTCTGAGCCTAGAGCACAGTGTGTGACACATAGCAGATATGAGATAAGTGGTCAGATGTATTAGACTGAGGGTTTATATAGATTACAGTGTATATAAAAAGTCAATTTATATGCTTAATGGATGCATCCATCTATCCACTAAAACTATTAATATTGCTTCTTGAAACCAATGATTCCCTTCTGGCAAAGAGAGGAAGATGTTCTTTATACTTTTCAAGGTAATATCACAATGGTGCAACTCCTTCTGTGTGATCATGAAAGACTGAAAATGATATTATGGGATGGCTTTTTGTTATATCCTCAACTAACACTGTTTGAATAAGCAAAAGGGAGAAAAGTGCTAAGGCTTACATATTTTTTTGCAGTTCAAGGAAATTATAAGTAGAATCAAATTGGTATGAATTAAAATTAACATTTTATGAATCATTATCAACAATTGGTAAGCTTTTATAAGTTCAAAATACTTTTAATATATAATGCAGACTTTGACAGCTCGCAGTATGAAATATAACCTCAGATTACATTTTATGTCTAACAAATCTAGCAAACCATCTTTTTTTCAATTTTCTCTTTCAAAGACTTTACCATAATTGGTTAAAAGTTGTTATGATGAAAATCCTTTACAATCCTGTGGGCATTAGTGTCTTAGTTATAATTACAGTAGTAAACAGTCCCTTGCCCCACTTCTAAAAATGTGTAACCAGAATCTAACATACATGAATGTCTAGTAGTACTTGAGACAATTTAACACCTTAAACATGAAAGGAAGGGTTTAATTTGTTTATAGCATCAACAAAAATGGAGGGCAGAGAACGCTTGAGCTACTGGCCGAGAAATAAGTTATTTAAGACCTGTCTGTCAATTTCTACCAAGGTAAATAGTTGAAGGCTGCCAATCAACTATCCAGTGTAACAAAGTAACTAAAAATGCCTTGCAGGTGTTTAATGAGCAGAGAAATCAAATACATTTATAAGGATATATTTTGCAGCCACAAAATTAAATGCACTGGTAGCTTCATGAGTGTATGATTTATCATCCTGACTTCCAGGGACCCATCTGTCACTTGTTTTAGCATTATTATTTATTACTTCAACAGTGCTCAAAGGATGCATGTTACTTTTACCTAGGTCTATTGCTAGATGAAAAATATACAACTGAGAACTGTTTGAAGAAGTCACAGTCTGCAATATATGGGATGCTCTATAGCAACACAAATATATATCATCCAAATGGTTTCTATTTATCTGGGGATTTGATGAGCCAGAATGAGTCTAGGTAGAAGAATTAGAGAGGGAGATAATTAAAAATAAATTATTGGTGAATGGGAATCAATTAGCAGATGCCTTCATACACAAGAAACATAAAATATAGAGAAGCCTTAAAACAAATATATTCTAGTAACAAAATTTTTTAAAGACAGTTCTTGCCAGAGGGTTTCCTCTTTAATTTCTCCCTCCAGCAGAGCATCAAACATTCTGCCTCCAGATGAACTTCTCAAACACAAATCAGATCCTGTCACTGGTGGATTAAGATCCCCTATGCTTCTTCACTGACCACAGAATGAA